AGTATTGCGTGACGGTGTCCTTTGGGTGAGAGGGGGCTCATTGTGAATGGAGTCGATAACCCCTTAGGAAGATGTCCACGTGACTTTACTAGGGTCACTCATTCACCTTTGCTATTCTTCGAGTCAACAGAGGAGATTTTCCCACCTTCTCCACCTTTTCCCACCTCATTCATAGGACAACGTTTTGGTTTTATTATTGGCATGCTTTAGCCCCACCTTTACTGGGGCGAAGTACATTTTACTCAAGATTGTAAAGAGGTGCTAACCTCATTTTTTTTTGTCTTTGTATATTAAAGCGGCTAGGGGTAGTACCCCCTAGCCAATTTACTCCACTCTACGAGTTTTCATTCGTTGGGCCCCAGTAAAAAAGCTACACGAAAGCAGCATAATTTTCCTCTTGTGGTCTTATAATGGGAAAACATAAAGGAAAATTTCTTTTGGTGTGCCGCAAGGATTTGTTCTCAGCCCACTTCTCTTTCTAATCTATATAAACGATATCCCCAATTGCTCTGAAATTTTTGATTTTCATCTCTTTGCTGACGATACTAATTTAATTTATGCTGATAAAAGTCTCAAATCGCTTGAGACTGCTGTTAATAATGAGCTGAGAAACGTTACTGACTTGCTAAATGCTAACAAATTAACTTTGAATACTAAGAAATCTAATTATGTAATCTTCCGCCCCTCACAAAAGAAACTAAATTCAACTATTGGCTTAAAAATAATTGATAACAATACTAACACTATCACTTCCATGGAATATAAGGAATACGTGAAGTACTTGGGAGTCCATATTGACAGTACTCTAAGTTGGAAACATCATATTAATTACATAGTTTGCAAAATAAGTAAAACTGTAGGTGTAATCGCCAATATCAGACGTTTTGTCCCGTCTGACGCTCTCCTCAAAATCTATTATCTCTGATTTTTCCCTATATACACTATGGCATAGTTACTGGGGGTCAAGCTGCTAAAACTCATATGAACAAGATTCTTCTTTTACAAAAGCGTGTTCTTCGATTTATATATGGTATGGAATACAGAGCTCATACTATACTACTATTTATTTCGCCAAATATTTTACCGGTTAACATGTTGTGCCTTAAAACTGTGGCTGCCCAAATGCATGATGTATCATATGGC